TGATACGGGAAAATTTACAAGAAATATTTTTTTAATGTATTAAAGATCACTGTTTATATTACGTGATATTCTTTACGTTTTTATGTACAATAACCCCGAATATATACAAATATAAAATATATCATATATTGAATTATAAATATACCTAAATGTATAGAATGAAAAATACCTGTTAATAATTTAATTATATGTAAAATTAATTAAATTTTGAATGAAAATATGGTTATTTATTCATTTTTAATATTCAACTGAGTTTTTCAACACCTTAAGTTATTTTTTTCGCTCTATTTTAGGCGATGAAAATCCCTGAGTTAATGGTTTTTATTGACTAAAACAGAAAGAAATTTAACTTTAAACAAGTTTTTTTTTATGTTTATGAGAAATGGATAAGATAAATGTGAACTGATTTTTTTACTTGGTACAGTACACTAATAGTAAAATCATGCATTACTTTCACATATCTTTCACCTGCATTCTTATTATATATATGTATGTTTTAATTAACTCTATAGTTATTAATTTACTGCAAGAATACATCACATTTCTAGTGAAATTAATTTATTAATTTGTTAAAAATTAATGTAATATTAGCACCTAACAGAAGGCCCTATACTCGGATGAAGCTGTAGTGACTATACTACTAATGAATCTTTGTGACCTCTTAAGTTATTTCACCCCCTACACTGAAGAGTTTTTTTTTTTAGTATAGAAGTTTTTGTGTAAATTAATAATATTAATTGATTTGGCACGGTTAATATAAATTTTATTACGTTATAATTTTAACCAAAGTAATTATCATAAATGGTTTATAAAAAATTAAAACATAATTCAATTAAAATTTATATGTTTTTGTTTAATATTAAGCTTATGAAAGGAAGAGGATCAAATAAAAATTTGACTTTTTGTAAAGAAATTTAACTCTATTAAATCTTATAAAGTAAAGTATATAATAAAAGCTAATTCTCATTATTATTATTATTATTATTAAGCATTAGAAAACACAAGAATTTGATCCTTACTCCTCCTCATTTTACACTCTTTTTCTATACAGAAATTTGATGCTTTTTATTTAGTATTATCACTTTAAACTTTTAATTATCTTTTAATAAGATTGTTATGGTATATAAACCAGAAAAAGATAAATAAATACATTTTTTAAACTTTATTTCTCGGTTAGTAACTATATTCATTTCTGTTCTTGTTATCAATTTAAGTATATTCAGGTGAATTTTTTTGTTTTGTTTTTTGATCCTCTTAAAATCGCTTTCTATATAATTTTCTTCTTCTGGTTTCCTAGACAACACATCACTGTCTACAGAACCTAATTAGGCATCATTGTTAGCGAATTTAAACATAGGAAAATTTCAAAATTTTAAAAAAAATATCTTCTATTGAAATTATAGATTACTTCATTAAAGTTTAGCATTCATCATTTGCATCTTCGTTATTTATAGGTTATACTTTCATATATATATATATATATAGGCCTATATGTTTATATGGGATATTATTTGCTTTAATTTTAAGAAATTTTATGTACTTTTTTCCAGTCTTAATTTCGAAGTTTTAAAATTGAAAATTTCGATTCAAGAGTAGAAAGAATTTTACTAAGGGTTTGACATTTTTAATGCTGTTAAATGATAATTTTATTCATTAACAAAATTGCCATCCATATGCATGTAGGTTATATTTATTAAATTTTGCTTAAAAGCTAATAAATGCATTGCATGTGCCTAGAATGTCCAAGTGCTGCTATCTTGGCATGACGAGAATTGCTGGAATATATCCAAGAATTGATTCTTTACCTTTTCTAGATTTTTTTAAACCCGATTCTTTCCTAAATATTCTCTTTAAAACCGATTTTCTTTCAACGTATTTAACGGTAAATTGATATTTCTTCAGTAAATTTTCAAAGAATCTCGTTCACGTCGATTTACTTTTTTTTTTTTAAATCATTATTTTTAAAAACAATATTTATTTAAGTTTCACTTAATAATAAAAAGTAATAATAATTATACTTTGAATATATTTTATGTTATAATAAAGCATTTTTTATTTTTTTTCTGCTTTTAAAAATTGAATTTAAATCCGAAAAAAACTATGCTAATTTATAAAATTGTTTAATAAAATTAATTATAATTTCGTTCACCAGATGGAAGCATATTAAATTTTATTTATATATTAATTCTAAATTTATAATTTATAAAAATTAAAATATACATATATATACATGTATATACTTATATTTTAGCTATTATAAACGGAAATAATAGTTTGGTTTTTTTTAAAAATAAATTTAAAAAAAATGAATTAAAATATAATAAATTAATTTATGTTTTGTACTCTAGATGGCAGCAGTAAAGAAATTAAATTAAAAAATCGAGATTAATAATCATTATAAAACGATAAAATTTATTTCGTTATTACGTATTTAAATCTTAAATTATAAATTTTTAAATATAAATTTTTTTGTTATATTTATTAATAAAANGTGTCACGATAAATTATTATTATTATTATTATTTTTAATTTCGGTTTCTCTAAACTTTTACAAAGAAAATAAAATTTTTAAATCGTTTAAACCCGTTAAAATGTAAAATATAACATTATAGGGGTAGAAAAGTTTAAGAAAGAAGAAATAAAAGGCGACAAATTGGCATTCAACTTGAATTAAAGGTAAATTTCGATCTGTTAGATGTCATTAACTCTCCGAACACATAAGATTAGTTTATCAAAATTGACGCGACAATCAAAGACTCCCAAGACAAAACTGTTATTAGGAATTCAAACAAGAAGACAGCCAAACCATTACAGAATACAAAAATTTCAATCAATAAAAGGTGAAAACAAACAAAAAATATCAGTAAAACTATATAAAATTTTCATTTAAGCGATCATAATAGAAATTAAACGCGTTAATTAATCATAGAAAATGCCAGAAATATTTTGAAATTAATTCGAAAACTAATTATTAATTCCCTTTATTCGTTCTATTCTTTAGATATTACTCTCATTATTATATTTTAGAAAGCGAAATCGGTTAAAAAAATTTGATCGTAATTAAAATTCCTTTAATAATAATTTTTACAGTCGACCCTCCTATAACACTGTTGATAATTCCGTTTTATATGAATTCCATGTTGTACGAGTCACTTAGATTTTACAAATACGTGAGCCGTTCACAGCCCGGCACACGTATTTGTAAAATCTAAGTGACTCGTACAACATGGAATTCGTATAAAACGGAATTATCAACAGTGTTATAGAGGGGTCGACTATACAACGTTAATTACTAAAAAAATATAATAATAATAATAAGATAAGCCACTGTATTGGCTTAACGCTTCTATAATAAAATATAAACTTTATACGTGAATAATAAGATATTAGAATAATTAAGTATAATTACTTTTCTTTATTTTAATTTATAAATTTTTAATTAATAATGAAAAATTCTGTTAAGTACATTAGATACTTTTCTGGACATAAGCCAATATAATAATATGAGATTTCGGAAAAATACAAACTTATTGAATGATTATCTACTTACTATCGATGAAATGCAGTTTATAAATCATTTTTCTTTCATCGATGACAAAAATCTTTGAATTGATTGATCATTTACAAATGTTTAGAAAACTTGAAGAGAATGGAAAGAATAACTACATTATAATAACAATAATTAAACATAGCAAAGTGAAGTCATGTTAATCAAATGTTAATGAGAGATTTTATAACATGACTTTATCATTAACACATTGGGAATGTCGAACTAATACTATTAAATAGTTTGGAGCTATTTAAGAACTTTTTATATTTAAAAAAAAAAAAAAAAAAAACTTTAAAAAAAAAAAAAACTGTAACAAATTCGATAAATAATGATGACGTTTTCGTGTAAAATTTCGAAAATCTGAAGAATTAAATAAAATTAAAGTCATGATAATTCGTACAATGATTTGTTTATAAAATGTCACTCTGTCCTTTGCTACTCACTTCTTTACTACAGAATTCAAGGCCAATGCTACTCAGTCACGTATATGTTTCTAATTATCTTTAACACAAGATTTAAACTTCTAAACAAGGAGCAAACTTTTCTGATTAAAAAGTAATTGTAGAAAAATTACATTATATTAAAATAAAAATTGTAAGTAATTATTTTTAAACATATTTTAATTATCATTAACTCATATAGTCATTAGATAAATTTTGAATAAATTAATTCGTGACACAATTAAAAAATTATCGTATAATTTACATGAAATTAATTAACTGTTTGTGTAGTTCTTCACGACAATAATCTTTCGGTTTAAATTTTCTTTGTTTTTTTCTTTTTTTTTTTTTTACTTGGAAAATCTTATCTAAACATGCTTCTGTATTACTCGATGATAAAATAATCACGCATACTCGTTCATTATTTAGATAAAAAAGATAAAGTAAATAGTATGGTTGCGTAATGTTAGTGTGTGTGTGTATATATTCTAAGAAACTGCTTTACGTTATTAATTGTCAATAAGTTTTTGATTCAGCATGTACGTCGTTTGGGCTATATATGTGTTTTCTATTATCCTCACTGTGAATGGAATTTCAGGTAAAATGAAAAACAATAATATTCATATTTTTGAGTTTTTTAAAATTATTTATTAAAAATATTTTATAAATTGTACACATTATTACACAGTTGAAAGATTCTGTCCTGTTAATGAAGAGTATCGATGGGATAGTTACGAATCCACTTGTGATAAAGTACTGCATAGAAGTTGGACTTTAAAGAAATGGGACGGATGCTTTTGTAAAAGTGGTTTTATACGAGATGAAAATACCGATTCGTGTATAACTGTAGAATCGTGTAGCGATAGTGAGTATTATTTACTTAAAATTAATATTGTTTAATTGCTACGTGATGATTTTAATTAATTAATAATGTTATATTCATTCGTATAGGAGTATGTAAAGAAGAAAACACAGAATTAAATTTATTTGGTCGATTAACGGTATGTAATGGATCCGGAATTTCGTCTTCTATGACGTATCCTCTAGGATATTTTCCTATATGTACTTGCAAAACTGGATATGCTATAAAAATCCACAGGTGCATCCCTAAATCGGAATGTACAGTAAGTAAAAATCATTTAATATATGAAAAAAATTATGAATTGTATTATTTTTTTTTTTACTAATTTTATTATTATATTTTATTTCAGTAACGTGTTATGATGGAGTGGAATCTTTTGTATTTATTGTATATATATATAGAGAGAGAGAGAGAAAAAAAAACAATTTATGTTGAAACTATTTTGTGTTCAATAAAATATTCTGTACAGTAAAATATTAATAATTTGAATAAAATCCGACAATTTTTTTTTATTTTTTAAGAAAAAAAAACATGTAGTGAATTATTTTTAATTAAAATACACTTAAATTAATGAATATAAATTACTGTAGTAACATATAAAAGAATTTATAAATTCATATTAAAATATAAGTTAAATTTTCTATTTTAAAATTAGATTACAATTTTCTTCAGACGTAATTAAGGAAAATATTAAAAAAAAAAATTCTAAAATAATATTAATTACGAATTGCGCATATAATTTTCTTGCAGTTAATGAAGTAATTTGTGTATTGCTTTAAACAGAACAAAAGAAGTTTTGTTTGATACTGAGAAAATGAATCTGGTTTTGTTTAATGAATGATATCCAAGTTGTGCAATACTATTATAAAAGAACATAATCTCGTGGTGCTTCTTTATATCTATTACTCATGAAAACTGGCAAAACATGTCAAACACTTTGAGTATAATTACATTCGTTTTCTTTATTTACGAGATAAATGGAATTTTAGGTAAGTTTTATATAAAATCTAATATATAAAGTTTAAGTTTATATTTACCATAAAATAAATAATTATTCGTTTTGAATTAGGTAGAGAAAATTGTAATGAAAATGAAGTGTATTTGGTTGACAAATGCGAACCAACTTGCGATAATATTTTCGAATTACCATGTTCTAACGGCAATAAATTTACTGGATGTTTTTGTAAAGAAGATTTTATAAGAAGCGGTACACAATGTATATCAGTAGAGGAGTGTAGTGCCCGTGAGTATACATACAGTAAATACATATATAGCCTATATATATCGAATTTTATTATTGCTAACTTTATTTTTAATTGGTATGTCATTAGGAATCTGTACGAGATCCAACACTGAATTGAATTTTGAAGGTCGATTAACTCGATGTAACGATGATGGAACTACGCGTACTTTTACATACCCTCTTGGATATTTTCCTATGTGTTCATGTAAAATAGGATATGCATCNAATAATATTAATTACGAATTGCGCATATAATTTTCTTGCAGTTAATGAAGTAATTTGTGTATTGCTTTAAACAGAACAAAAGAAGTTTTGTTTGATACTGAGAAAATGAATCTGGTTTTGTTTAATGAATGATATCCAAGTTGTGCAATACTATTATAAAAGAACATAATCTCGTGGTGCTTCTTTATATCTATTACTCATGAAAACTGGCAAAACATGTCAAACACTTTGAGTATAATTACATTCGTTTTCTTTATTTACGAGATAAATGGAATTTTAGGTAAGTTTTATATAAAATCTAATATATAAAGTTTAAGTTTATATTTACCATAAAATAAATAATTATTCGTTTTGAATTAGGTAGAGAAAATTGTAATGAAAATGAAGTGTATTTGGTTGACAAATGCGAACCAACTTGCGATAATATTTTCGAATTACCATGTTCTAACGGCAATAAATTTACTGGATGTTTTTGTAAAGAAGATTTTATAAGAAGCGGTACACAATGTATATCAGTAGAGGAGTGTAGTGCCCGTGAGTATACATACAGTAAATACATATATAGCCTATATATATCGAATTTTATTATTGCTAACTTTATTTTTAATTGGTATGTCATTAGGAATCTGTACGAGATCCAACACTGAATTGAATTTTGAAGGTCGATTAACTCGATGTAACGATGATGGAACTACGCGTACTTTTACATACCCTCTTGGATATTTTCCTATGTGTTCATGTAAAATAGGATATGCATCTAAGAATAAGATTTGTATTCCCGAATCTGATTGTGGGTGAGTATTTAATTAAAAATTTATTACTAATAAATAAAAACTAGTTCTTTAATTATATAGTAATTAACATAGTAGTTTAGTAGACTAATGAGGTTAAAAACATATAGTTCTTTATGTTTGATATTGTTTAATTTATTTAAAAACTTTGATAAATAATTTAAAAAATATATTTTTTTATTTTAGGAATGTTGTATAGAAACTATAAAAGAAGAAAGTGAAAGTTTTGCATATTAAAAATAGCTTTAACATTTAAAAAAAAAATTACTAC